CTTGTGCCAGAGGTTTCTGTCTTGGATTCACTTGCTGAGCTATCTTTAGGTCTAGAGCCATGGCTATTCTCTTCTCTAACTTGTAATTTGCTTCATCAACTGACACCTTATTAGGAAAACGGCACTACTGCCCTATCACAGGGCCACAATCCACCAAACCCAGTGACAATTGTTCCCCAGCTTTAGTGTTCCGTCACTCCCTAAGGTTGTGGGCCTGGTCTTTTATCCACTTCAGGGTCTGTGAATAACCCACAGGGGAAACAGAGGCGACACTTACTAGTGCAATGTAAGACTTATTTGTGAGTAATATAATTCTTTTTGCCATGTTGATGTATTACCTTGGCAATATCTGGCACAAGTAAGAGGATAGGTCAACATATGGATGTGGACGAACCCACTGTGCAATCCTTTTTTTTGAAGATATGTTCTGTCCTCAGCATTACATTTGAATGCAACAGGGATCAGCTTTGTGACAGCTACTTACCAATGGCTGAGCTCTGCACTTCTGCACCGGTCTCTAAAGCCTCTCGAGACTTTTGAGTTGTCTGTTGTCAGTTACTTTATAGTGGAAGTCTTCTCCTTAGACTCCAGCTGTTTGGTGTGCTGCATCAGTCTATCTGTACAGGTATATAGAACTATAATGCTGGTCAGTGCATATACCCTCTGTGGGTGACCGACTCTTCTGGACTTTGCTAGACTGAATATTTAAGTAGTTAGGGGGTAAGAATATTTCTCTTCCCTGGGCCCATAAAAGCAGAGGTCAGCAAGTTCTTAACTGCTACAAAGTGGTCCATTGATACCCCAAGACCAGCCACAGCCTTTCAGCCCATATAAGACTGCTTTCTCCGCAGGTTTCAAAAGACCTTGGTAGGCCGAAAACACCAAATCCACCAACAAACCTTTAGCAGCATGAAGTTTTCCTCCAACTTGTGAACTCACAGGTGGGGCAAACTCTGTTAGCTTTCTCAGAGGTTTAGAGGGCATGTATGGCTGACGTGTGTGTGCCAAAAGTAGTCTCTTTTGCATACAGAATAGCGTTCTGTTCCTCTTCCCCACCCTGTGCACTTTTGTCATTAAGTGGTCTGATTTCCCCTCAGCTTTTGGCAGACCTTCATTAGGCAGTCAGTATCATCTGGCATTCCCGGTGCCACTCTGGGAAAATTAAAGTGATTTTACTCTAATATGTTCCTTCTTAGTTTGTAAACGGGGCACTCGCCCCATTTTCAACCTAGATGCGGCCAAAACCTTTGTAAAAGTTCACTATTAAATCCATACATTCTGTGATGGCCTCTTTCCACTGGGGGATTTTCTGGCCTCCGTAGTTATCTGAAATATGTATAGACTACCAATATTTTCTCCACCTAACCATGAGAAAAAAGGACCTTTTATTTTATTTTTTCAGCGAGGCTGTTGACCATGCTGCTAACCCTCATATATTAGCTCTAGGACTGCAGAGCATCATAATTGTAGGCTACCAGGAGAATTTCCTCCTGAGGGAGAAGTTGTCTGTCTTCTTCGTTCAAACTCTTTGAGAAGTTCGGCTAGTTAGTGATCAGTGCTGAATCCCAATGTATGGCCTGAAGTACATGGGTCTAGACACCACCCTAGCCAGGGTATACCTGTCCTAGGAAAAATTGATAAAACTTTGCCTTTGGTTCAGCAACTAAAGTTCTAGAGTCGATCCACTCTCTGGATTGCAGGAGAGTTCTGGGTTAATAGTGTCCTCCATTGGCTTGATACCATTTGCCTAGGTTCATATGAAGACCCTGTAAAGAAACCTTTTGTCTGTGTTGGTCAAGTCACCCTTGTCATTGGACAAGGAAATAGATTTTGTCTTTGCACCCCGTTTTCCATAATGTGATGTTGTTTCTCTATTCTCTAGCTGCAGCTAACAGACACTTTCTCCCTCTCTCTCTTGATAGGTGATTACTTGAGCCTCCTTGGCTGAGGCAGAGTACTGGGCCCTATTGGTTGGTCACTGGAGCAGGCAAAACCTCTGATCAACATTCTAGTGAACGTCTAGTGATTTTCCTGTCCTTCTCTTTTCTCTATTTTGTAGTCAGTTGAAGCATGGCTTTAAGCAGCAACCAAGTCAGGTGTCTTGGCTGTCCTGGGTTTACTACCCATTCGTTGATCCACATTTTTTTTCCCATGATGTACCTCATATATCCAGGGTGTCACTCCCCTTTTAGACCTCTGCTTCAACTGTGGGATTGGAACTTGGTCTCATTAGCTTTTCAGATGCCACTTTTTGAGCCAATTAGGATGTTTTAATTTGTCTTCCCTTTCCCACAAGGTGACATTCATTGTGACGTTTACATTGGCAAGAAGAGTTTTGGAGCTGTCTAGGCTGTGTTGCATGGAATTCTATTTGTTTCTCCACATAGATTTTTTTTTTTTGTTGCATGCTGAGATCTTTTCTTTTCTTTTTTTTCCTAATGTGGTCCTTCATTTTTACTTGAATAAAGACATTGTCTTGCTTTCTTTGTTCCCGCTTCCTACTCAAGGATATTGCTCTCCATTGTCTGGCTGCAGTGAGAGCTGTTAGAGTTTATTTGAATGACACAGCTTCTTTTCAGATGTCAGATTCCTTGTTTGTCTTTCTGGAAGTTTCCCAGAAGGGTTTACTGGCTTCCATTTTCACCATTTACTAGTGGATTCAACTCATTATTGTTCAGTTGTATATGTTTAAGGGCTAAGTTCCCTCTTTTCCTGGTAAGGCTCACACCACTAGGGCAGTGAAACTGCTTCTTTTTTTAAATCGGATACATTTTATTGACATTTTCTTTTTTTGATTTAGACATTTATATGACAGAATACTTTCCGCTCTGTAACATACAGAGCAATATTACCAAAACAGTTAACAGATATCAATTAACAGTAGCCATGTGACCGGATTGGGGAAAAAGGGGGGGGGGGGGGATGGGGGCTTAGAAATGTAGGTAATGCATATTTATCACCAGTTTATCGCACCCATATAGAAAGAAACCAAAACCAGAAAAAGAAAAAAAAAGAGAAGAGAAAACAATATAGATAGAGAGAAAGACAAGAACAATGGAATGGAGTGATGATGCCTTCTGTTGGAGGCGGAGATATGGCTCCCCACTCTCCAAGACATCTCCACATTTGTATTTGGCCGCTCTTGGCGTCACCTGTAGCACGTCTTGGCCATCCTAAACCCTCTTTGTGATCTATACTTGTGCGACCCCTTCATCTATCCCCTTCGAGCCTGACTCAGCCCGCATCCCACAGTGTCCTCTGGGCTAACCTCCCATTTGTGCACTCTAGTCCGTTGCAGTAGAGCCCCCTTCCTCACCACCAACTCACTCCCGCATCTGCTACACGTTCCCTTCCTGTGTTCCTTCACCTTCGGCCTCCAACCCCTTCCTAGCGAACACATCCTGACGGAACTTTAGGGGTCAGCACCTTATGGCATCTGCCTGTTTAACCATCTATCCCAGATATTATAAAATTTTGACTTAATACCCCTGTGTTTGTATGTGATTTTTTTCCAGTGTGAGAATACGATCCAACTCTCCCATCCAGGTCAATACCGTCGGGACAGCAGGGGACATCCATTGAAGTGCAATGATCCTTCTTGCTGCAAATAGAGCCCTAGATACAGCAACCACTGTGGGATCATCCCATGTGGAGGTGTCAAACACATCTAGAAGGCATGCAAGGGGAGAATGGGGGAGCTGGATCATAAACGTGGAGTTGATATACCTCATCACTGCATCCCAGTATCTCACTAATTTGGGGCATCACCACAAAAGGTGTATAAGGGACCCGGGCTCGATACCACATTTAGGACATTTAGAGTCTGTTCTCACTCCGATTTTAAAGAGGAAAACTGGGGTGCGGTACGTTCTGTGCAAGATAAAAAGCTGAGTCAGCCTGTGAGAGGAGGACAAAGAGGAGGCACCCACCGAGGCCATGGCGCTCTCCCTTTCCTCCTCCATGAGGGCCCCCAGGTCCTCCTCCCATGCGGATCTACAGTGGAGAGGATACTTCCTCAGAAAGTGGGAGAGTAGATGGGAGTATAACAGGGAGATAACACCTTTTGGTATGCGTAGATATTGCAATCTGGTCCAGGAGTGGAACCTTGTTTATTTGTAGTGGACTAGTCCCCGGGTGTACAGACAGGGCATGCCTCAACTGGAGATATTGAAAGAATTGGGTCCTCTGCAAATTAAATCTGGACTGCAGCTGTTGGAATAAGCATAGAGTGCCTGCATCATAGACCTGTGATATGAGGTGAATCCCCTCCCTCCTCCATGAGACAAATCCCCTCAGTTTCTGTACTTCAGGCAATCTGCCATTATCCCATAGTGGGGTAATGGTGGGAACCTCAGAAAGCCCCAGGAGGGCTCTAACAGACACCCAGACCCTGGCCAGTAGTTTTTTCGTCGGGAGATCAGAACGGGACAGGTGAGCCGTGTCTAGCAATGATAATGAAACTGCTTCTTGAGCTTTTCGTAATCAGGCATCTCTGTATCTCAGGCTTGCAAGACTTGGGCTCACAATTTCGCCGATTCTTAGCTGGTGGATGTCTGAGCATCATTGGATGATATTTTTCAGTTGCAACATTTTGTGGGCATCTATGTGAGCCCCCAGTTTCAATTGTTCTGCTTTGATTTGCCTGTTTACTGTTGGGGTGTGTTCATCCCCAGTTTTTGGGAACGCCCTATGGTTCTTGAATGGGAAGTGCTGTGTCCCATCATTTTGGAGTCCAGTTAGGGACACAGGTCCCCCCCTTCTTGTGGTAGAGATTGTTATGTTTTTCATACCGCTTGCTACAACTGAGCAGATTAGTTGAGAGAGATTGTGACACCTAGAGGCTGGCCTTTGTTTTTTGTGCCTATTGTCCAGGCCTGTAGATGGTAGTATAACCCATGTTTATATAAATATGAAGTATTGTGTCAATGTACTCTGGGAAGAGTATTTATGGTAAGTACAAAATCCTATTTTTCTAATTTCTATTTTCATATTTTTTGCAGGCACACAGAACACTGCATAACCTCGCAGACATGGAGAGACAGATCTTTAGTAAGAAAAAGACATTGTTAGCACTGAGCAAATTGGCTGCTTTAGCATCTGATTTCCGTGAAGATATGTTACAAGATAAGATTGAAGGTAATTGTCAATGTCTCTTTTTTATCAGCAGTCTTCATTGTTGTGGCACTGTAAAAATTTGATGAACGAGATAGAGGATCCTCAAATATTCTAATTATAATCTTTATAATAATCTTTAGAAATTCATTCAATTTAGGCTTTCAGGCTATTGTGAATAGAAAATGTTATGATCCTTCACAGTTTGGATCAATCTGCTCTTATATACTCAGGTTTATAAAGTATAAATACTTGATCTTCATACTTGTCCTCAGATACCTAAGGCTACATTCCAAGGAGAGTGGATATCGCTATCCTCTCTGTCAGACACCACTGTGTTTATGTAACACTACCTCTGTATTTTATGAATATTGAGTGATCCATGAATGTAGACTGTGGTGTGGAGCCCGTGCATTATCCTGCAGAGAATACTTTGTCATTTTTTTTATTGGGGGGTGGGTTTTTTTTTCATTCTTTGAAGTAAATGGCTCTTTGCTTGCTTTGGAGCATAATGCACAGTTGCAGAACATATTGCTTAACAGTATGTAAATGTAATGCAGTAAGGCCATAGTGTGGTTTCATAAATTGGGCCCTTACTCTATATCTAATGTTCACAAAGGCACCTTTCTCTTCCATTCATTGAAGGACACAGCTGGATCCTTAGGATTTTGACCATATGGGTTTTATATCACTAGCTGCAGGAGTAGAACACTAGGCAAAAAACAGGCCAGGAATGGTCACTGCTGGTGGCCAAATCCACTGACTGCAACAATCCATTTTTTTGCCTAGCGTTCAGGAGTTTTGACCTAGGATTTTTTTTGTCCTCATTTTATTGTTAGATCTAGGACTTTTTTCCCCATTTTTTGTTGTATTTTGATTTTCAATCAAGCCGCTACCTGTGCGACAGCCCAGATATATAGATCCTGGTAGTCACCCAACTGTAGTTCTACAAGCGTATGCAGTTCTTTGCTCCAGCTAGATAGGCTGTGATGACTCTGCTTTCGCTGAGCGGCCTGGAGGATGATCTTCTCCTGGGGTGTGTGTGAGACCAATCACCAGGTGGTCAGTCACAGTACTACCTTGTGGGGCAGCAGCGCCCGGACTACTGTTGGAGGCGATCTGCTGTAGGCTGAGGGTGTCCTGTCCCTCCTTTGTAGGTGAGTGTATGTATGAGGCTCTCTGTGCCTCGCCTCATTATGGGCCTACTTGTATTGCTAGGGGTTCCCTTGCACTTTGCCTGCTGGATGCTCCCATCCCCCCTCCTTTTCTATGCCTTTATTCACTGGGCAGGAGGGGGCAGGGAGCATTATTAGTTTCAGCATTGCTAGCTTGTCGGCGGAGCCGGGAAGAATTGATCCTACCTGCCTGTCCTCTGGATTGCTGTGGCAGACTCCTCTGTTTGTGACCCCTCCACCACTGTGAGGAGCGGGAGGTGCCAGCATATGGGCTTGGGCAGGCAGTGTTTTACTAGGCAGTGGCAATGGGTGTCCTCCCCTTACTCTGCCTCAGTGGGAAGTGGGTTTTGTCTCCCGTATTGAGAAAGCCTTGCTACAGAGGCCCTCTAAGAAGCGTCCTTCTCCTTCCTCTTCAGAGGTTTCCGATGAGGAACCGTCTGGTGCTGATCCTATTTCCTCTATGTTGGTAGAACCGAATCTGATCTCCTCTGTTAGCAAGGAGGAAGTGCCAGCGCTTGGTCGCTGGGGCTCTGCTTAGGCTGGTCCTGGCTTCGGCCTTGGTCACGCACACACTGATGGAATGGGCACAAATGTTAGGTCAGGATTAGTCGCCGAACAAGTTTCCCTGGTGTATGTTGAGTTGGCTGACCAGCTAGTGCAAGGGCAACTTTTTGGCCGCAAGGTCTTGCAGGCAGCAGTGTGAGTGCCTCCTCAACTGTGGGTATGTTATGTTCTGTTTTGCCCACTCTCTATGATGCTGTTTTGGGACATTCCATATGGTCAAGATCCTAAGGATCCAGCTGTGTTCTTTAATGAATGTAAGAGAAAATAGGATTTTTGTACTCACAACCTAAACACAGACCAGATGTGGGATTTTTTTTTAAAAACACACTACATACTGCTACTTCAAAGTCTATACCCTTAGGGAGCAAAAGATCAAAGACTAAACCTATAACCAGTACTAAGAAAAGATGTCCTCGAGCTGGAAAAAGTCCAGCGGAGGGCAACCAAACTAATTAGGGGTATGGAGGACCAGAGCTACGAGACGAGGCTACTAAATTTAAACATGTTCACATTGGAGGTGAGGAGATTAAGGGGGGATATGATTTCCATGTACAAGATGTTCAATGGTGGTAGCAACATTAGCGATAAACTATTTAAAATTAACTCCATTACAAAAACTAGAGGCCACCACCTAAAATTGGTGGAAAAAAAATTCCAGCACAAGGGGCGAAGGGGGTTCTTCACAGTTAGAGCAGTCAGGGTCTGGAACTCACTGCCACAGGCGGTGATTTCAGCAAAGAGTATGGCATTGTTCAAGAAACTTTTGGACGATTCCCTAAGGGACCGTAATATACGGGGGTACAAGTAGTACTCCTAAGAATGAGATCCTAATAGGTTGGACTTGATGGACTAATGTCTTTATTCAACCTCAAATACTATGTAACCATAAGATCCCTTTCTCTGCATTTATTGAAGGACACAACACTCACCCTCATTATGGTTTTACAGTGTTACCATTTCTGCATGCTGATCTGGGTTGATTGTTGCAGTCAGCGGGTTTGGCCGCCCCTGAGCTGTTTTTTGTTCTTTAGCCTAGCGTTCTACTCCTGCAGGTGGTGATATAAAACCCATATGGTCAAGATCCTTAAGCTGGCCATACACTTTACAACCATTGCAAGACTTTTGTCTTGCGATGGTTGTAAGCTAATTAAAAGCTTGTACGATCTGCCCATCTTGGACAGGCAGATCGTACTTGCAATCATCGAAAGCCCGCCCCGCTGAGGGGCTGGCTTCCGATGACTCCAATGCCGCACGGGCAGTGTGCGCTTGTGCACACCGGCCCGCGCAGCATTTGTCTCCCGAGAACGCCACTAGCCCGTCAACAATCGTACGATTCTCGTCAAGTTTTCCAGCCTGCTTGGGAGACAAAAGACGTGCGACCGTACAGTAGAAACGATCGCACGCCTTCCATACACCTGCTGATTATCGTACGATCGCGGGATTTCAGCTGTGTCCTTGAATGACCGCAGAGAAAAGTATTTTACGGTGAGTAAAACATCCTTTTTTGTTTTTGTTTGATAGTTATTACCATTGTAGAAAATTGAAATTATTTCACAGCTTTTAATTGATCTCCATGTTATATTCTGTTGAAATTAACACTGTATACAGACTGTTAGGGTTTTTTTTTTTGTTTTTGTTAAAGAGCTTTTCCTGGAGATCTCATGAGATTACAGATAAGAACGAGATTCTAGAGGGGGAAAAGATGGAATTAAACATGATGCCTGTGCTGACACCATTAGAATTAATCAAGGTATGTTAATTGCGTAGATTAACTACTAAATGATATCATAAAACTCAAAATATACCCCAAAACAGGCTTTGTTTTGGATGAACTGAAATCATTTGCTATACCATATACCAGGGCTCAAAATTTCCACTCGCCCCCTCGCAAATTGTGAGTGAAAATTGCGTGGGGCGAGTGGAAATGAAGCCATTGAGTCAGGCACTCCTCCGGGCGGCTTCTCTCCTCCTCACCGACATGATGACAGCGCTCCCTCGTCCGTCCGGGGTCGCAGGAGGGAGCGCTGCCTGAATGAAGAGGATCCTGTGACACCCCGAAATGTTGCATTAAGTGTATCATGCTTTGCTGCATATACATCAATAAATAGACGTATTTGATTTGCTATTGGAGTGCCTGTGTCTATATTTCTACTCTTTGTGACCTCTGCCGCGCCATAGACCAAAATACCTCTCTGGTATGCGCAGCCATGACCCAAGGTATTATTTCAAAAACGTACAGCGCTCCTCGTATTTTAGAGGTCCCTCCGGTGGGATATCCAATCATAAAAAATAAGACATACGCTCATAGCGTAGTAAAACCCAGGTTTATTATAGTCATACAGCATACAAGTTTAAAAAGAGCGCTAAAATATGTTTAAAAAAGCCGGCTGGTCACTTTAGGCGTGATTCCTATTAGACTGGATCAAATGACGTGAGAATAGGCCCGCCCCCTATTCTCACATCATTTGATCCAGTCTAATAGGAATCACGCCTAAAGTGACCAGCCGGCTTTTTTAAACATATTTTAGCGCTCTTTTTAAACTTGTATGCTGTATGACTATAATAAACCTGGGTTTTACTACGCTATGAGCGTATGTCTTATTTTTTATGATTGGATATCCCACCGGAGGGACCTCTAAAATACGAGGATATTCCGTTTAAACATCACGGGTAAAACGGAAGACCTTTCCTTCCCTGAAGCCTGATCGAGCATGGAAATTAAAGACGGAGCTGCAGACTTACCTTGATGAAACAAACGTGTTTAACATCTTCGGATCTGGTGAGTGCATTCCCTTGAGGGGATTTTTCGCTGCATTTTTTCTACATTTTTTTCTACATTTTTTTCTACATTTTGTTTTATTTTTATTTTTTATTTTTGTCTTCATTTTTTCTTCATTATTTTTTCCTCGTTTTTTGGATTTTCGTTGGACACATTATTGCACTGAATTTTCACTGTCGAAGTGTCTTATATTTATGGATTTCTAAAGACTATATATATAAAAAAACTACAAAAAAAACTACAAAAGATTTGGACTATTCACAAATACATTGGAAAAAGTTTATTTTTGTTTCATTTTTTAAGTGGTACACATTGTTTGTCCATTCACTATTTATTAACAAGAATCACTTACACATGATACATATATTCACAGCCTATCACATTTTATTATAGAAATATATACATTGTCTGTTTTGATATTTTATGAACTTTATTTGTTCACACAATTGATTCACATTGAAGATTTTGAGATACACCCCTTCACTGAATGTTTTATTAATCATTAATTATTAATTTTCAATAGCACTTGTTTAATCCTGATCTCAACGTCTGAGTTCTTATATTTACATCTAAAGGACGGCTAGCGCTGTACGTTTTTTGAAATAATACATCCGAATAGGGGCTGAGTGCCTTTTTGTTCAGCAGCTTCCCTTACCCTTCCAGAACAATCTAATATAATTTTTAATTAAATTGTAATTTTTATTCCTTTTATCTACTTTTATATATAATTGATTATTTATTACTTCCATTAGCGCAAGTTCTTTGCCATTACTACATGACCCAAGGTAACCACATAACCCAGCACCCCAAGTGGAATAATTTATTTGCTTTAGTACACATTAACCATTTGTGTGCTTGTCACTTTAAGGCTGGGGCTGCACACATGCTGCACAACCTCACTATGGTTGTAAGTATTCTGGGGGACACACATGGCAGGGATGCAAGGGTGGGGAGCTCAGGAGCTCGGACCATGCTTCAGAAGAGAGCTCTACCCCCACCAGGGACATCATTACCATGAGTCCCATGCTGCTATTTTTGTCCCCCTCATTGCTGAATTCAGGGTCTTCCCTTGGCCCCCAAGGTCTCCTTCTAACTCTGTCTAGAGAGGAATTTACCACAATGGTCTTAATACGGCCCTTACTGCCCCTGTCCAGGACAATCCAGTTTGTAAAGACAAGAGGTTGGAAACCCTATTTGCCCTTACAGATGCTGCTGTTGTAACCATATTGGTTTGTCAGACCTTGTCCGTATGGTCTAAAGCTATGGCTAAGAACTCTGGTTTCATCGTAACAGGTCCAGAAGTTCTTGGAGTTAGAATTTTTTCCTGCAGCCTTATGCTTCTGCATTGATGGTCTTATGGGCAATCTCCGCCAAATTTTCAGAATGGATCTTCTTTCCATCTTTATGCAATATGAGAATGCTTTCATCCCCAGGGAACTCCTTAATGTAGGTGCCTAAGTCCATTCTTGCCCCAAAAGACGCAGCCTAAGCCTCCCATTTCTAGAGCTTCCACTTCCTTCAAGAAAAGCTCCTTTCATCCTTCCCAGCCCTCAGGCCTCTTGCCCTAACAGGGCTCTCAATTCAGACACAAGGGTTGGCCCTCCACATCCTGCGACAAACCCTCTTTGAAATGAAGGGAGATCCTCCACTTTCACAGATGGAGGGTCAGCTGTAAACCCATTTGGCTTATTGGCTCAGGGCATACCTGATGTCTGGGTTCAAACCGTGTTGTCCAGGGCCTACAAGCTGGAGTTATACTCCCTGCCTCCCTCCTCATTTGTGGTTTTGCTCTCTGCCCGTCATTCTCTAGCAAAGGCAGAGAGCAAAATAAAGTTGCAGCTACAAGCATATGCACATAATTTGAAAACTAGCAATGGCTCCATTGTGATCATACATTGCTTGTTTGCTAGATATGGCTGTGACATCAACAATAGATGGTTGTTATTGCCCAAACACCCTTGTCCAATATTGTCATCACGCACACAGGTAGCAAGTGAAAGCCGACACCATTGGTTTGTTAGAGATAAACTTCTATTATCTGTGCTTTT